CTCTGTGTCTCTCTCTCTGTGTGTCTCTCTCACATACACACACCCCTATACCTTCTTCAGCTTTGTTTTACAAGACATGATTTCTCTGTGTAGCCTTGGCTATCCTGAAACTCATTCTGTAGACCAAGCTGGCCTCAAACTCACAGAGGTCTGCCTGCTTCAGCTCCACCAAGAGCTAGGATGAAAGATGTGCACCACCACCACCCAGCATAAATAAATATTTTTCAAAAGCATTAAAGTAGTTGAAGCTCTGAGGACCGGATGGCCTCTGTTACAACTCTTTGACTCTGCCGTTTGCCTCCATTACATCTTGCCTTGGCCTCCCAAGTGCTGGGATGATGGGCACCTGCTGCCACACTCAGCTTTTAACATGGGTGCTGGGGATTGAACTCAGGGCCTCATATTTGTACAGCAAGCACTTTACCAACTTAACCATCTTCCCAGTCCCTGATTACCTGCTACCTATAAAAACAGGTGAGACCAGATTTGACCCCCAGGCAATCATATACTGACCTGTTTCAGTAGGATGGTTTACTTTGTACTGGGATTGAATAACACAAGCCCTCTTCCTTCTCTTGTAGAACCTGATAAAGTCTGCTCTGGTAGGAGCACTAGAAGAACCTAGAAAAGGCCAACTCCCTCTTTCCTCCTAGAGGGCCTTACTGCTCGTTCTCTAGACACATTCTAAGAGCATCTCTGTAGAATGCACCAGCAGCTGAGCTGGGGATGCTTACGCATGCTCTTGAGCTTTCTGAGCTATTTAGAGCCTAAGCCCAGAACACAGAGGTGGGAGAAGCCGGTGATGAGCCTGAGAATCAGTTCTGTTCCCAACCATGCATGCCAGGACCCTCGGGGAAAGCTGTCTTTTGTTTTCTGTGTTTATCTCTTTCTCTGTAGGTTCCAGCCAGGCTGCCAAGGCCGATAGCAATACCCAAACTCCGAGTAACTGGAAAGGTGCCCACCCCAAACTCAGGGATCAGCTGAAGAAGAAGAAGAAGTCCTCCAAAAAGGTTTTCAAAATACTGCAGGAGAAGATGTTGAAGTTGCAGCATGTCGTCACAGACCAGTTCTTGCAGTGGACAAACCAGCAGATGCAGTGCCTCTCACTAGGAGATCAGCAATGCACAAGAGCCTCCAGGAATCAGGAAAAGAAGATGGGCCACTTACTGTCTCAGATTGTCAACCTTGTATGGTCTAACACTGTAAGGAAACTGAAGTTCCAAGTACCTCTCCCTTGCTCGGACTCTAGATGTGCCATCAAAGCTGGGCACCAGGCCCTGTCATCTTGGCAGACTGGCCAACCCAGGCCTAGGCTGGGTGATCTTGAGGCTGCCTTTGCCAGCTGCACCCTATCCAAGCGTGGGACTGACATCTATGAGTTTTACCATTTAAGCTTCCAGAGCTATGACGCCTATCAGACAGACAAATACCACAAGGATGAGAACCCTTTGGTAAGATGGGACAGCTTTGAAAGCCCCAATCTCAAGAATTTACTGGGTCCTGTGCCTAGTCTCTCTTATGATTACTTCTCTTTATGATGCACTAACATTATTGTCTTAGAATAATTATATAGTTATAGACATACACTGATAATGTCCCAGAAGATGGAGCCCTGGGGGAGGGGAATGTCTTGAGTCCCTTCATCCCTACCACCTTTCCTTTAACTTCAGCAGTCAGTCACAGCACTCATGCTGGTAAATGAGCCTGCCTTTGTAAAATGAAGCATAGTGACAGGTGTAGGCAACCATGAGAGAAACAAGAGTTTAGACTATTTCCCAGGGCACGGAAGGGATTCGGAAAGTCTCAACCAGACAGCCTATGTGATGGTGGCCATGATGTTCCTAGACGGGTGAGAACCATGTATGGAAGGTTGGAAGAGCTTGGTGTGATCGGGAAGAAGACCCGTGTGCCAGAGTAGAGATGAGTACTGTAGTTAGAAGTAGGGCACAGGTGGGCAGGGGTTCAAATATTCCCCTGAGGGCAGCAAGCAGCCAGCAAAGGACGTTTAGCCAAGGAGATTAACAGCAGCTCTTTATTCAAAGGGTGGAGTCATTCATGGCCGTAGTCATGCCTTTCCCTTCTATTCTCGTCTAAGCTGTGTATGGCCATTCCATGGCTTTTCTAGAAACTGAATCTGTCACCTCTATTGTATGTAAGGGATGCATCATCTACAGTAACTTGGAGTCCGCTTCGATGTGATAGCAGAGATGGACACAGGCAGGGTTTGCTGTTGATAAGGCTCCAATATCTGGGTAGAGCTAGAGAGGTTCTGCCTGCCACTCAGTGTGTTTGTCTGGTAGATTTCCAACTTTCCTTCTCTTCCTCCTTCAATGGATCAAATGGAATGCTTTTCTCAAGACATAAGGCAGCTCACAGGAAATGGTGAGTCTGAGTAAGGTCTGCAGTCAAGGAATTCAGTGCCTAGTACACAGAGCACAGTCCAACTGCTCTGATTTGTCTGTTGGACTGGGGAGGGGACTAGATAGCTGTAAAACTTGATAGATGTTGAACTATGTTGTGGCATGGTGAGTCTTCCCTTGAACTAATCTACAATGACAACTTCTTGGCATGCCTAAAGGTGTCTTAGGATGGAGGAAGAGAGCTAACCTAGATTCCTTCCACTTCCAGGGCTACATCAACCTTAGTACCATCGAGAACAAGCTTTGCCTTGACCTGGTTACAGCAAGGGTAAGCAATACTCTAGGCTTAGTTGAGACTTAGCTCCTCTGGGCCCAGTTCCCTGGCCTATTCCTTAGCTTGTGGGAGGTCCAGGAGGAAAACATAGACATCACGGGGAGAGCCGAGACATCGCTTCTAGAACAACATAACCTAAACTCCTGGCCTGGCTGACTGTCTAGAGGTAGTCTGGCAGGAATGCAGTGAGAGCCTGCCCAAAGCTTTGGCCTACAGAGGCTGTCAGATACTTCTGTTAAAGCACATGTGTGTCTGATAAGGCTAGCCTCCATTCATGAAGGAGCACATGGCATGTAGCCTTGCTCCCCTGCTGGGAGACTTGTAGCTTCTCAGTGCAGAGACTTACGCACGAACTAGGAACAAAATAAGGCCCACTTGGCCTTCCCGGACTGCCTGTCTTCATATTCTATTTGTCAACAGTTGACTCAGAGTGACATGAACTGTCTTGATGAAGCCCAGCTGCAATACTCTGACTGGAAAGGACAACCCTTGTAAGTGCCTTTCAGAACTAGAGTCTCTCCACAGGCACCTTTCTTTCATCATCCATTGGCTATATATACAATTATTGACAGAATCTTGTGTAGCACAGGCTGGCCTCATACTCCCTATCTAGCTGAGGATAACCTTGAATTTCTGACCCTCCCACACTTACCTCCTGAGTGTGGGATTGCAGGTGTATATCATCATGCTTGCTTTTATTGTGGTGCTGAAGATGGAACTTAGGGTTCTATGCATGCATTCTAGGCAAGCATCTACCCCCGCCTGAGCCATATCCCCTTCCCTCAAATGCACCATATTTAAGATTAACTACTTTCCTGTATCTTTGGCTAATAACGTCCAGGAAATGCCTATCAGATATGTCTAGCTCTAGGCATGATAGTTAATGAATGCAGCCCAATGCAAATCCGTTAAGATATTTAAAACATTGAGAATTGTTGACCGAGTTTTAAGACTCGGTCACACAGTTCTTGAGTATGAACTGTGTAGATGACAATGTTTCTTTCAATGCCAAAAGGTTGGATTTGCCTAAGAATAAAACATCTCGGGAGGCAGTCTAAGCTGGCAGAAAGAGCATCTGTTTATAATTCTCCCACCTCTCAATAGCCACGTGACCCTGGAGAGGTAACTTTAGTCTATAGTCCTATAAGATGAGGTTGGCTTGGATAGCAAAGATCTCCTTAAGGTTGGATACTATGTTCTTTAAAAATGTGTGTCATCTAGATTCTGAATGAAGAAGGGTACCTGCAAACTCTAGGGTCTCTCTGGTCTGTCTACAGCCTTCGGGAAGAGCTGGCTAGCTTCTTGACCCACTACTGCAAGGCACCTACACCTCTTGATCCAGAAAATGTGAGTGAGATCAGTGGAGGACTGTCCTTTTCAGCTCCTTCTGCATCATCTATAGACCACAGGGAGAACCCTCAGACTGGCAGGGCACAGTAAAATCCAGCTTAGGAGGGTCTTGGGGGAGGACCATTAGGAAGTCCCTGGGAGATGTCCAATTGAAAAGGTCTCCTGGGGGATGTACAGTAGAGGAGGTCCTGGGACCTGCCCTTTGGGAGGAGAGGGAGATGGCCTGTGCATACCCTCCTTACACAGGTACTGATCTTGACTCTATCTCTTGGACCTTGTCCTCAGGTGGTGGTTCTGAATAACTGTTCCTCAATCTTTTCTTCACTGGCCATGGTTCTGTGTGACCCAGGTGGTAAGTTAGCAGGCTCTACTTTTCTGGCATGTTTGCAGGGACATCTCAGCACTGGACTTTGGAAGAGAAGAGTTTTGAGGTCTTTTCCACAAGTGCAGGCTACTCTGTCCTGCCAGAGACATCATTTCTGGGAACTCAAGGGAGTTAGAGCCCTAATTAAATATGGAAGAAACGTGGCAGTTCTCAAAGAGGTGATCTAGATGAAAAGGCCCAGAAGCCCAAGAAAAGTGGGAAAGAAAAGAGAGAAATGAAATCCATAAGGTTCAACACTAGGAAACTTTCTTGTGTATGACCTTTGACATTTTGTGCCTAGTCCAGTCAGACAAGACTTTTAAAGTTAAGGACAATTGCTTAGGTAGAAAAGTGCTTGTCACTCAAGCACAAGGATCTGAATTTAATTCCTGGAGCTCACATAAAAGGCTGGACATGGTGGCATGTGCTTGTGGTGGTTTGTGCTTCTGAAGCTGTGGAAGCTGAGACAGGCAGCTCCCTAAAAGTTGCTTACCAGCCAGCCTAAATACACCAATAAAGAGACACTATCTTAATAAACAAGACATATTGTTCCAAAGTAAGGAGTCTGGGGTTGACCTCTGATCTCCACATGTGCATGCACATTGGGTACACATGTAGCTACACAGACACTGGCATCTCAATAGGAAGACTTTTCTAACGGGAAGTACCCTGTTTGAGTCATACCTTGGACTCTGAGCTGTTCACTGTGATCACCTCTCTTAGCAAGAGTTTTCTTCCCAAATGAATGTGTACAAAAATGTACCATTGTCCTACGAAATGAGCTCAAGGACTGAGAAGAAGAGATTGCTATGTGGGGCTCTTGTGTTGGGATCCTTGCTGCTCATGTTGACTGGAAGCCAGCTTTGACTCCTTGTGCTCCTAGATGCCCTTCTGATCCCCACACCGTGCTACAGCAGCTTCCCCTTCAGCTCCTACTTCTATTCGAAAGTTGAGCTTGTTCCTGTCTACTTGGAGAGCCAGGTCAGAATGTGGCCTCTTCCCTGCTCACCCATCTGGTGATGTTCTAGGGGCCCCAAAGAGACAGAGGAGCATTGTCCTTTAAATGATGGTGGGAGTGGGGCAGATACCAGGGTGAAGAAGCTATGTAGGGACCAACACCCTGACATGAAGGCCAAGGACTATATGGGGCTTGAGAAACCAGGCTCAGGAACAAGCCTTTCTCAGTGGTATGTGTCTTCCAGGTCACCGGGACCGACTCGTATTCTTTCCAACTCACTGTGGATAAGCTCAAGCTTGCCCTCACTCAAGCTAAGAAGGAGGTAAGGGTAGGGAGTTGGGGGAGCCGTCATCTCAGGGTTGCCACTGTTGGTCTTGAAAAGGCTGAGTAACGAGACTTAGATACAAGATGTGGGGGCTTTCTCTAGATAGGAAAGACAGCAAGTAGTTCTAAGTACCTGACTTCACTGTAGAAGTGAGTTCCATCCACGGAAACTTCCAGAACACATCACCCTTTGCTGGCAGCATGGAGTTGCATCCATGAGATGCTACCTAGGCTTTATCGAGGTGTCCTAAGTTAGATGTCTCGAGCCATAAAAGATGCTTGGTGGGATTTGGGGCAGATGTAAAAGGACTTGTATTCACTCTTGTGTTTGGGTTTCTTCTCAGGCAAAAAATGTCAAAGGCATTGTGCTCATCAACCCCCAGAATCCTCTGAGTGGTGTCTACACTCAATTGTCACTGCAAAAGTACCTGGTCTTCGCCAAGAAGTATGTGTTCTACTCCATCACATGTAGGCAAGAAGTTAGAAACAAAAGTAATTTATCCAAGATTACCCATCCTGCTTTGCAGGGTTCTATAAAGACTATTAAGTGAAGGGAAAGGGGCCCCTATAGTAACCATTTGTCTTTGATTTCCTGTCCAACCTCTTCCCACAGACATTTACCTAGGCACCAGAGCGCTGCTCTGTTGCTTTCCCACTCATGGTGGCTGAAGCGCTTTATCCCAGTATCTGTTTCCAGACTCCCTGGGCTGTAGTGTCAAGGATGACAGATACTCAGACTCTCATGGCTCCCTGCTAGGAGCAGGTTAACAAAAGTTGCCTCTGGAGTCCTGCAGTGAACCCTTGTAGGACAGACAATTTGTTTTCTAGAAACGGCACTCAGACTTCATGACTGACCCAGATCAACCGGCAGTTGAGGCAGACATGGGATGCCATCAAGAACTCAGTGGAGCCGAGTGTAAATTCTGGCTATCTGGGTTGCTTTCCTATTGGTCTCATAATACCCTGCAAAGGAAGGATTGTCCAGTCTCATGGCTCATGGATACATATAGCTCATCATGGCAGGAGTGTCAGGGTGAGGAGATTCAAGCAGCTGGTCACGCTGGGTCCATGGGCAGGAGAGAGACCATTCTGCTCAGCTAGCTTCAGTTCTCCCCCTTTATTCTTTTTGAGATCGGGACTCAAGACCAGAAAACAGCAGCACCCACTTTAGGGTGGGTCTTCCTACCTCACTTAACCTAAATGGGATAATCCCTCCCAGGTGTTTCCAGAGGCTGGTCTCTTAGATGATTCCAGATCCTGTGAAATTCACAATCAATGTTAGCCATCACCTGAGCTCCAGGACTCTACTAGGCTGAGTCAACTGTTGGTCTGTCTCAGGACCTTACTTTACATCTGTGACATGGGGTGATGGTGCTGTTTCTGGGGATTGTGGCAAACTGAAGACAAAAATGTGTTCAAAGCCCACCCGGTGCTGTGAATCAGTTTGGACCCTGGATGGCAGCTCCTGTCTGTCACTGACTTAAACACTTGGGGAAGCTTTGCCTCTTTTCCTGTTTGCTTGGTGTTTAAAGAGTTAGATGTGTTATCTCATAGGTGTCTTTCTTTTGTGTCCTTTTCCGTCTCTGTACTGCCAGCTAGAGCAAAGTTTCCTTCTTGTGTACACAATAATGTCCCGTGGAGAGGTGTAGAGTAAGCTCTTGGGACAATAGGCATAAATGAGCTGTATCCAAGAGCAGGAAAGAGAGTGAGTGACGATTACAGAGACAGCTGGCCAGATGGCTCAGTGAGTGAAGGTGTCTGCCACCAAACCTGACAAACTGAACAACATGATCCTAACAAGTCGTTTTCTGCCTTCCATCCATGGACCATGCTGAGAGTGCAAGCGTAGGCTTGGGCTCGCACACATGCGCGTGTGAGCGCATACACACTAAAATGTAATAATTTTTTAAATTGTTGATAGAAACTAGATGTATTTTCTTCCTTTCCCAACGCCAGGCACAAGCTGCACGTGATCGTGGACGAGAATTACATGCTGTCCGTGTTTGAGCCATCTGCCACATTTCAGAGCGTTCTGAGTATAAAAGAGTAAGTTTATCTACACCAGTGTTGGGAGCAGGAACCATGAGTCTCCTGCTTTGTAGAGGCATTCATGAAGAGGAACTTGCCTGATGTGTGCTGGGGAATGAGTCAAGTACCCGTGGGGCTTGTGAAGATGAACAAAGGGCCCGCTGCCCTCATGAGTGTTGAGTCCAAGTGCCATTCTGTGTATCAGTGAATGCTGAGCAAGGCAGCGAGTATGGTCAAGGGATGGCAGGTCAGTCAGGAAAGTGTGAGAATCTGAGTTCGAGTTCCCAGAACCTATGTGAAAATCCTAGCATAGCAACATGTGACCCTCGAGGTAGGGGAGGAGCTAAGCAAGGCGTATCCCTGGAGCTCATTGGCCACACGGCCAGGATGAAATGAAGGGCTTCAGTTAATTAAGAGACCTTGTCTGCAGTGGGGGCATTGAGGAGGTAAAAAGATACTCAGTTTTAACCTGTGTCTTTCACACCTATATGTGCACACACACATGCCCACACCCACACATATGTATTTATTAAGGAAAGCCCTCAGGGATTGCTGGCCAGGTAGGGACTTCTTTACAAAGCATCTTGCTGTGTAGCCCAACCTGGCCTCAAACTCTTAATTCTCCTGCCTCTACCTCCTGAGTGCTGGGAATATAAGTATATCCCACCATGCCCAACTCAAACTTTTTTAAAGGGATGTAAAATTTGACTATAAGAATGAGATTTCATCAAAGCAAGACATTGGCATGCCTGCTAGAAGGGACAGGTTCACCAAAGGTGGGGCAGTAAGAGGTGGGCACGTTCTAGAATGGACAGGTGGGCACGTTCTAGAATGGACAGGTGGGCACGTTCTAGAATGGACAGGTGGGCACGTTCTAGAAGTGATAGGCAACTTACTCCTGAAAGGACAGCTGCTAAGGAGGGAGGTGGTCTTGGACTAGATCTGTAGTCAGATCTGTAGTAGTAGAGTCAGTCAGGCTGATGGCCTGGGACTTCCTTCAGTGGGCACTCGAGTACTGTTCCATGTGTGCTTTTCAGGGACACCTTGTGTTGACATCTAGCTTAGCTGCCACCACTGTCTCTTTGAACCTGGTCATGTTAGACCCTGTCTAGGAAGAACCTAACGTCCACTTTCTTCTTTCCGTCAGAGAGGTGGTCAGAGAGGTGGTCATTTATCTGTTTTTCAACTATTTCCCTCTCTAATTTTGATTTTTTTTTTAATTTCTTTTCCAGCTTGCCTGATCCTAACATGATCCATATTATCTGGGACACTAGTAAGGTAAGCTCCAGGACCTGTCTTTGGGTCTGGAAGGAAGGGGACTTAGGAACAAAAGACAAGAGAAACTACATGTTCCTTCTTCAACTTCTCTTCCTCCAGGATTTTGGCATATCTGGCTTCCGCCTTGGTGTTCTCTATACACACAACAAGGAGGTAGCGTCTGCCATGAAAGTTTTTGGCTACTACCATGGTGTCTCTGACATTGCTCAGTACAAGCTGTGGCGACTGCTCCAGGACAAAGGTACCAAGTAGGACCTTAGGATAGCATCTTGACTTAACTTTATGACTATGGGGGATTGCTGGGTTTTCTGGGGGATGGGTCTCTAGCATGTGCTCAATAAACTTGAGGATCTGTTCACTGTCTGAAGTTAAACTGTGGAGGACAGAGTAAATCCCAGTGAGTGCATAGGTGTGGCTAGAAGATAGAGGACCTGTGTGAAACCAGGCTGGGTTTTATTTCGGAAAGCCTAATAGTTTCTGCTCTGCTTAGAAAACTGCTTGTGACTGGTTCCCTAAGACATGAAGGTAAGAACCTCAGACACCAGTCAGTCAATTTTCCTTTTTGCCTTTGAAACAGGGTCTCAATATATAGCCCTGGCCTGGAACTCAACATGTAGACCAGGCTAGCCCAGAACTCCGAGGTCTGCCTCTCTTGCCTCTGTCTCCCTAGTGATTAAAGCATGTGTCATGGAGCCTAGCAGAGATCAGCAAGTGTCTCTTTCTCCTGGACCTACTTGCCCCAGGCAAACATTTTCTTTTGTCAACAGTGGGTCCTTTTCATTGACTTTTCCAATATGGATTAAAATAAATTTCCAGGGGATACAAAGGAGAAAGATGTTTGGGGGAGAGTTTGTATGGCTAGATCTATGGCCCCTAAATTCTCCAGGGACCTCAAGAGAATGCTGGGCCTGAAAGGAGACCTTTCCCTTTAATGCTATGACTAAAACATAGAAAAGAATCTTTCCCTTTAATTTCCTGTAATTGGTGCCAGACTGGAAGGCTTAGACCAGTAGATGGACTATATTGAGACAGCCATGGTATTTAAAGAAACAAACTAATGTAGCTAGACAGCTTGCTTTTAGCTTTGGGTGGAGAAAGAAGTAGAAAGGAGAAATCTGACTGACTACCAACCCTCCATGGTGCCAGAATCCTTTAGATGTGATGAAAACTGGACCTCAGCCCCTTCAATACTGGTTTTCAACCTTAGATGTACCTAGGATTTACCTAGAAACTGCATCCTCAGATTTCTGTCTAGATACTCTAGGAGTATAACACAGGCATGAGATGGAGAGATGGCTCAATGATTAAAAGCATGTGCTGCTCTTCCAGAGGACCTTAATTCTGTTCCCAACGCTCACATCAGTCAACTCACAACTTCCTGTAACTCCCATTTCCAGGAGCTCCAACTCCCCAACCACCTACGTACACATGCATAGACTGGCACATACACACATAATTAAAACTTTGTTTAGGGTTTTGCTATTTAGATAGTTTCTCCATGTAGCCCTGGCTGTCCTGGAACTCGATATGTAGACCAGGATGGCCTTGAACTCAGAGATCTACCTGACTCTGCCTCCCAAGTGCTGGGACTAAAGGCCTGTTCCATCACTGTCCAGCATAATTAACTTTTCAAACAGTATAAGGTAGGCATAGAGGTTTCTACGGCCTCATGTCATTCTTTTCCCATTATTATCTTAGAACAGTGGTGCTGAATTCATCCCAGAGCGTTAGCCGGGCTCTTTCAGTCCAGTGTGTGGGGTTCAAGAGCTCAAGTGAAAGCTTTGCATATCTACTAACTCACTCAGGTGACAACAGTGGGATCAGTCCCCTTTGTGGGATCCCTTGGCTACAGGCCTCTATCTATTCAAAGGGAACATTCTAGTAGAGCATTAAGATGCCCTCTGTCTGCTCTATAAAGTCCTATATAAGAGTTGTGGGCCAGGATATTATCAATTCAGACACAGCAAGGCAGACTCCATCTTGTATTGAAATGGCTCATGGCTCACATGAAGCCCAGCTAAGGGACACTTGGGAAGAACCCCTATCCCTACCCCTACCCCCCCCCAGATGTCTTCTATGAGATCTGTGGTACTCTTTCTCTGCTCATCCAGAGTGGATCAATAAGGTGTACCTGCCTAAAAACCATAGCCGGCTCCGGAAGGCTTATAGCTATGTCATGAAGATACTGGAGGACTTGAAGATCCCTTTTTGCAACTGTGGCTCTGGCCTCTTTGTCTGGATCAACTTGAAAGCTGTAAGTTCTGCAAATGGCAGGCACTGGGCTTACCAGTCAGCTGGTCTTGTGCTCAGCTCTGCCCCCTTTCCCTTTCCCTTTTTCTAGTATCTGAGTCCGTGCACGTTTGAACAAGAGCAGATTCTTTACCAGCGCTTCCAGGACAACAAGCTGTTGATATCTAGTGGCCAGTCCTACAAGTGTATAGAGCCTGGCTGGTTCTGCCTTGTCTTCGCAGAAAATCACCTTCAACTACAAGTGGGTGAGTGCTGCTGACCTCCCCACCCCAAGTCAGACATGCAGTAAAGAGGCCCCACCAACTCCTCCATAATATATTGTGCTTGCAATAGCCTGTAGCTTCAGCTTCTCTGAGCTACCCTTTTCCATTCTATTAATTATGCTCCTTCATAAACAGGAAGTAATCCATTCCTTAAGTACCCATCTATCCCTGCATTCCACCTTTCCAGTATATTTGTTCTGTGTCTGCCATGTGTTTGAGAATGTCTTCTGGGCCAAGGCTTCTAAGGAGCGGTTTTCTGCCCATGTGGGGCTGGAGTCCAGTGGATGTGGTGGACAGACAATCGTGGCAGCCACTATATGTTCTATCGGAATCCTCACACTCCTCTGGCAACATGAAGAACACAGTGTTTATGTGAATAATTATTTATAGCATCTCATTAGTTGCCAGACATTTTCCTACCTGCTGAGATGAGCAATGAGCCGCTTAGCCTTGTGGAAAATAGACTGAGGGAAGCTGGGCCTGAGCATTCCCACTTGCAATCCTGACACTTGGAAGGAGACAGGAGGTCTGAGAGGTCAAGGCTAGCCTGGGCCACATATAGAGACCCTGTATCACAAGTAAATGATCAAACCCAGTGAAAGGTTAAGAAGCAAACAAGCCACAGGACAGACTTCGACATAAATCTTCTTTCTGACAGGCTCATGATTTGATCTTAGGTTCAAAAAGAGCCAGAAGAGATAGGATAGGTTGTCTTCAAGTTCCATCCCAAAGAAGAGAGGGCTGATTTCAGCACCCATAAACAGAGGCCCTGATGGTTCGCTGCCAGCCGGGTCTGTCTGGGCTCCATCTGCACGTCGTTAACTCATTCTCTCCTGTCTCCTTTGCACCTTCTAGGCATGGATCGGTTCTGCCATGTGCTCGCTGAACACAAACAAGGCATAACGGAAGAGCAGGAGCAGACAACTGGGACCTAGACTGCTGCCTCCAGACGGTCATGGGCCCCTGAAAGTAGCCTTGTGGCCAGAAGACAGTAGGAGGAATTGGAGCCACTGTGCTGTCTGACCTCACTCATCAAGTAAGACCCCTAAGCTGGGTGTCTGACTTTTTAGAAGCCTTGTTTCTTTTAAGTCTTTGCTAGCTATTCTGTACTCAAAAATGATGTTTTTATTGTGGTAAGAGGGGGAAGGCAGTTCCCCTGGATTCCTTTTTAGATGGCTTTGTTTTACATTCATCATTTAATAAAAGTCATGCTCTATTTTCTCCAGTTCCAGGCCTGCTTTATTTCTGGTTCATATTCCTTTTGGAGGGAGATGATTGTTTTAAGTCCTTTGGAAAGCTTGCATGTGAAGAGTACTGTCTGAGAGAAATTTGGGGTGATAGCCCAGAGGGTGAGAGTGCTTTGCTCTGCAAGCATAAGGACCTGAGTTCAAATCCCAGGCACTCCATGTAAAAACCTAGACATGGCTTTGAGTACCCGTATCCTCAGCACTGGAGGAGTGGGGCACACACAGGTGCACCATACCATCTTATTAGCAACCAAGTCTAGCAAAATGGCAAGAAATCCCATCTCAGTGCAGCAAGGTTGAAAGCCTTAGAGGGAGATCTTGAGGTCCTGTTCTGACTTCCCCACGTGCACATGCACATGTGCACTCATGCATACTCAACATATACACTCACATACTCTCACTCTCACACTCCCTCTCACTCTCACACTCTCTCACAATTCACTGACACATACTCACTGACACACACTCTCTCACACACATTCACACACATAACACACATTCACACACATAACACACATTCACACACATAACACACATTCACACACATAACACACACTCACATACACTCAAAACACATACACACTCACAGAGATATACATACACACTGACACACACACACACACACACACACACACACACACTTCTGTCTGTGGCAGGCCTGTAAGGAAGGGAAGAAATGACTCAGAGCCGGATGCTGAAGGAGCACTAAGTTGTGCCGTCTTTAGAAGCTCACAATCTTCCATCCTTATGAATGGCTGAAGGACTGAATGGGGTATTATGGGCATTCCTGCATTCAAATGCCAGAAATCTTCCAAAATGTTTTAGGACAAATCTTGGAATATTAGTTTTTTCAGATAGCTATAATAAAATACCAGAAACTTATAAAGAATGAGAATCTCTTTCTTACAGTTCTAGAAGCTGTAAAGTCCAAGAACCGAATATGTAAGTGTCTGGTGAGCCGTCTTCTTTCTTCCTATGATATCACATGATTGGAGGCTGGGGCTCCCTCTGCTTTCATGATCTGATCACTTTCCAAGGGTCTCACCTGATACTGCTGTCATTTTAGGGGTGAAGATTTCACATATGAGTTTCAGGGTTGGGGATCATAGACCTCAGTTCCCAGAACTGGAATTTTCCATTCCCATCTCTTGATATTCCCGCTGTTCAAATTGTGCCTACCTGAGCTTCTGGGAAGCCCTTGCCTACTAGAGGCTGTGAAATGCACAGAACAGAGTCGGAACCTTTTGTGGAAGTTGGAAAAGCTTCTAGTACTCACTGATAGCCTTGTTAGTCATGTGGGTTTGTGTCCACACACATTCCTCTGGGAACAGGTTTGTTCCACCTCTTTTTGTCTTTCTGTACAACTCAGGCTGGCCTTGAACACACATCTTCCTCAGCTTCCCAGGTGCTAGGATTACAGGTATATGTCACTAGCTCTGGTAGATTCTCCCCCTCCTCTTCCCCTTCCTCCTCCTTGTCCTCCTTTTTTCCTTTCAATCAACGAAAGGAAGTATATTGCTTTTCTCAAGCAACTTAAGGAAGGACTTTTTTTGGCTCATGCTTTGAGGTTTCCATGTACCGTGGTGGAGAAGCAAAGCTCTGGCGTGGAGTGTACCTTTAGCTGTGGCAGCAGAACATGGGGCAGTTGGGTATATTACATCCACAGTCAGGACGGAGAGATAGATGCTGCTGCTCACCTCACTTTCTCCTCTCTTATTGAGTCTGGGACCCCACCCTATGGGATGATGCTACACACACTGAGGGGTTACTCTGCATAAGTTAAGCCTCTCTGGAAATAAACTCAGACACACCAGAGTTGTGTATTCTAGATAGTCCTAGGTGGCGTGGGATAGAAGGAATCATGCCTTCCATGGAAGTGTTAGTCTGTTTCTGAGTCTGTTCAACTCAGTATTCAGATGGGGGACGGGCTAGATGGCTCAGTGAATAAAGGCACCTGCCACTAAGCCTGATGACCTGACTTTGATCCCGAAGCCCTACATGGTGGAAAGGGAGAAGTGAGTTTCATAAGTTGTCCTCTGACCTCCACATGCATATAGTGACACATGTCTGAAGTAAATAGATGTAATTTTTTAAAAAAGTTGTTTTGTAAAGTTCTGAATGTTTCACTTGTTAACATTTGCTGTTCATATTAGTTTTTTTTCATTGCTATGACAACTACCTGAAAAAGGTGATTTGAGAACAAAAGGGGCAGGCATGATGACATCCCTGCAAGTTCCCAGACTTGGGAGGCAGAGGCAGAATGAACACTACAAGTCTGAGGCCAGCCTGAATTATCTAGGAGGTTCCAGGCCAGCAAGGCTGCACAGAGACACAGCAAGATTGTGTCTCGTGGCTTTGATGGTTAATCTTGATTGGCAACTGGACCAGATCTGGAATCCACTAAGAGGCAAGTGAATTTTTCTTGATTGGGAAGAAATGAGAAGATCCACCCTAAGTGTGGTGACACACTGTGGTGTCGGGCAGAGGGAAAAGCTCTTGCTCTTTAGGCTGCTTGCCTCTGGGCCTCACTGGTGAAGTTACTCAGGTTTCAAGCCATCTACCCTGCCACCACTCTGCTACTGTGTTGTTACGGCCCTTCACTAATATCAGAGGCAAACCTCTTCAGCCTTCGAATGTGAGTGAAAGACCACTGGCTCTCCCAGAATCTTCCAGGCCTTCAGTATTAGGGTTCTGTAGAGAAAAAGAACTAATGGAATATATAGTCATATAAATTCATATATGATTTATTAGAGTGACTTACAGGTGAATCCACCTAACCCAACAATGACAAGGTCTTGATGGAAAGTCGGAGAATCCGGTAGCTATTCAGTCCATGAGGCTGGTGTCTCAGCTGGTCTTCAGTATACCTCAGAATCCCCAAAAAGTAGGCTGTAGTGCCAGTGAGGGAGGGCCTCAGCAGAAGGATAGAAATATGAACATGCCAGGGAGAACAGGGTAAGCAAGAAAAAGCAAAAGTTTCTTTCTTCCATGATCCTTTATAGAGGCTGTCACAAGGTGTGGCCCAGATTTAAGGTGAGTCTTTCATCCTCAAATGATCCAGTTAGCTAAAAATTCCTTCCAGATGTGCTTGAGCTTTTAGTTAATTCCAGATGTAGTCAGGTTGACAGCCAAGAATAGCCATCACGAGTCCATCCCTGGTCATCTTGACATACAATCACCTCTTATACCAAGTGAAAAAGTGAGGTCATGACTATACATAATATGATGTAACTATCTTATTTTTTTAAAAAACATTTATTTATTTTATGTATGTGAGTACACTGTCTACCTCTTCAGGCACACCAGAAGAGGGCAACAATCAATCCCATTATAGATGGCTGTCTTCCATCATGTGGTTGCTAGGAATTGAACTCAGGACCTCTGGAAGAGCAGTCAGTGCTTTTTTTATCACTGAGCCATCTCTCCAGTCCATGATGTAACTATCTTATGTACAATCGTAAACACATTATGTATTTTAGAGCAAGTGGCAATATTCCCTTGAGGGACATTTGTTTAGTATCTCATAACTTAAATACGATAACCACTGATACTATCTTAATTGATGTTACATTACATGATAAGGAAATTGACAAAACACGTATCTGTGCAAACACATTCTTAACACAATATGACAGAAACATTCTATCAATCATGATCCTCACTTCGGCAGTTGGTCTCAGCTGGTATTTATAACTACCTTCCTCCACTACTCTTCTGTATTTCCTCTATCCTCAGTGAGCGTCTCAGCAGTGTTAGTATACATGTATGACAGGCCTATGGCTGATGTTAGGCCTTCAGTGTGTAAACAGGGCTGCCCCCTGACATCTCCTCCCTTCTCTAAGTATAGACGGGCTGTGGCGAATCTAATCTTTCGAAGGCAGGGATAGAACACCTGACCTCCAGTAATTGAAGGGGACCTTGTAATGGCTCCGGTCGAGGTGGAGTTATTCAATTTGGTATTTACACTCAATTTAGCATGCCTCTGGAGGCACACAGTGGAAATGAGTTACAACTTCTTGTTGCTTGCTTGCTTGGGTTTTTGTTTTTTGGGTTTTTTTGTTTTGTTTGTTTTGTTTTTGTTTTGGTACCCAGGACTAACCTTTTTCCTTTGTCTCCTCACGTCTCTAAACATCTCTTTAGTACAGACTGGAATTCAAAGAAGCCGCGCTTTGAAAGCTATTGATTCCTGTGTGTCCCATGGCCATATGAATGTGTGTGTCTCTACATTTCTACATTTCCTTTGTAAATCTGTTTTTCCTCCAACTAAGAATTTCTGGAGCTTGAGAGAAGCCTTTACAAATGGATGGCGGTGAGATCTCATGTGCAAGTAATGCTCAGGAGGATGCCTCCTTTAACTGGGGAAGAAACTTCCAACCTTCAAATGGCTCTGACCAAGGGTGTCCGAAAGGCAAGAGAGATCTGAGCTCAGCCAATGAAAGAAGAGATAGGAGTGGGCGTGGTTTTGTCTTGGCCAAGATCCTCCACCCCTCTGGTTCTTTCCCTTTTCTGAGTTTAGACTCCAGTTTCTGGCCTATAGGGAAGTGCTGAAGAACGGAGCTTCCTCTTCTGCGACCAGGAGGCAGAGCGCGGACTCCTTCCCTGTGTTCCCGCCAGGTCGCCAGGGGGCAGGCTGACCCAGTGTCACGGAAGTCCAGCCCCGAGAATACCGCGCGTGAAAACCCAAGGTT